CCATATTTTTTGATGATGCGATGATCATGTCATCCGGATTGTAGGGTTAAGTAACAACTTGATTTATATTCTGTCTGGCTAATTCTTTTATATGTAGCATAGCAAATTCCTTGTGGTATTTGCTAAGAAAGTTTTAGATGATAAATTCTTGGCCATAGAAACACTTTCATGATAAAAAAGGAAAAGATGGAAATCCTTGGCCTTAGAAACACTAAAAAAGAAGAAGAAGAAAAAAGTATATAAATATAAATGATAATATTAGTAATATTTATTGTAACATTCATCATGAAATCAGTAGGGAAACCAGTGTTCAAAAATTGTTTCAAAATGAATAAGGATACAGCATTTGTAATTGAAAATGGAAGAGAGTAACCTTAGACTTTTGTTCACCTCATATAAATCATAAATATTTAAGAATAGTGAAACAGAATAACCGTGAATAATAATTAATGAGTTCTTGTATAGATTCAACACAGATATATGTGTTGTTCTAAGTGGTAAATAGTTAACATGCTGGGAAAAGAGATCATCTTTGTTATGGTGTTGACTACCCTATGCATTATATACCTTTTATATAAAAAGTAATCCTGGTAAATGTAAAGAACTATTCATTAGTATTATCTTGCTGAAGGTCATATCCTTTGGGGTTTTGTTAGTTTTGCATATATTATAGCTGAAAACCATTTTTCTAAGAAAAAAATCCACATTATTAATAGGTATTAGGTTAATTTCATTCTCACAAAACTGCTGGGTTCTTAGGATAGTGTTTGGATATTATTTTAGGATATTATTAGCCTAATGGACGTGAAAAAGCTAGTTTTCCTGTGACATTTTTGAAGTGCATGTCAAGTTAATCCCTGAATAAGAATGTGATATCCTAAAACAGCATATTGGGCCTCGGAACAAAAGGAATGGCCAATCCCAAGACAATACAGATTGTAAAAAATGTATGTAAGCAAAGTTAAAAGTTTTCAACAAAGATAGGTTTAAGGAAGGACGTGCATCACTGAACTTTTCTGTATATGAAATATATATGAAAAAATAAGAATTGGGAATTAATTACATGATTTTGATATACTTCCTAATTCACTTTTATCTATTATGAATCCATTTATGTTTACGTTTTTACATCTTTACAAGATTTACATAAGAAATTAACCCAATGGTGCCGGGGAAAATGAAAAAAAAATGGAGAAATTGCTGTGCCCACTTTCTATGTTTTTTTATGAAATGTCTGCCGATAGATGGCTCTGCTAGCGCCTGATTTGAAATGGCGGGAAAAACGTATTTTTCACTAGTGCTATGAAAATCGATGGTGTTATTTTTATCATAAACATTATAATTTTTATAATGTTTTTTAACATTAGTAACAGCAAAATAAGATAACGTAAAATATTTCGTAAATCAAAGAAACGGGTAAACGGGCGAGACGGGCGGTGCTCGTAACTGGCTCATTGGTGATTTAGTACAAGTGTTGCCATCTATGCGTAACAACAATCAAACAGGTACTCACGGTGGGCATAGCACGTACGTACACGTCATACCCGGCACCAAGGGGTTAATGTAAAAATTGTCTTTGATATAAATAATTCAAAGCATTGATTTCCAGTTCTCCCAGAATCTCTTTGTCTGCAAAAAAATTCTTCTAAACCTGTAAATGTCTACAACCTTCACTGATTCTATATCCCATTGTTATCAGATTCATCAATGGAGTATACAGACAGCAGTGGTGTTGACTTGCAGCAGTTCATCATCCAGACACTTCACAAGAACCAAAAGGACCGTATGATGCTCCTCAAGATTGAGCATGAACTGGTCAATCTCGTGAAGGACACCAAGTAAGTACAGTGGGTAGTAAAAAGGTGACCTGAAAATAAAAGAAAGAAAGAAAAAATGGGTTTGCTTTGATTTTAGGACAGAAGTGTGGATTTTATTGTATGGTTAGTGATGTGAATATTTTTTGGACTCAGAGGTGTGTATTATTTCTACAATTTGCCTATAACAGGGTTTGGACTTTTGTCACTCCCTCTCCTTCCTCTCTGTCTCCTTGTCCTTCTTCTTCACCTCCTTTGCCTTTTCTCTCCCCTTCTTTTTCTTCTCATTTTCCTCATCTTCCCTCTTCTACTTTTTCACTGTCTCTTCCCCTTTTTCTTTCTTTCTCCCTTTCCTTCTTTTTCTCCTCCTCCTTTTCCCTCTTCTCCTTCTCCTTCTCCTTCTCCATCTCCTTCTCCTTCTGCTTCTCCTTCTTCTCCTTCTCCTTCTCCTTCTCCTTCTCCTTCTCCTTCTCCTTCTCCTCCATCTCTCTCTAATTTTCATTGTCATTCTCCTTTCCATTCTTCTTCTCCTCAGTCTCCTTCCCATTCTTCTCCTTTTCCTTTTCCTTTACCTCTTTCTCTTCCCCTTCCTGTTACCTCTACTTCTGTTTCATGAGTTTATGCCTTTCCTTCTCATTTTCATCCTTTCTGCTCATTCTAACTATCTTGCTTCCCTGTCCATTTCA